TTGGGTTAGGACTCAGGAAACCCATGTCTGAGTCCCCCTCAGTCACAGGAACCCACTGAATGACTTTCTGGCAGGCATATTCTCTCCACTCAACGTGCTCCACAAAGTTCTTGTCATTAGAACAATATTTACAATCATTAGAACAATAAGAACTCACGTACTTAATTTATTTTTATTTATTTTGAAAAACCTTGTTACTTTTTGAGGACAAATCTGATTTTTCATTATGCAAACCTCCTATCCCTTCAATGTCTAGATGTTACATTTCTAAACAAGAAGGCAGGACAGGTATGTTGTAGTGCTTATACATGTTCATCCACATACAGAAAATGTCACACCTTCATCCAAATTTTAAATGTTGCTGAATCTGTGGAGTCCTTGGGGTTCTCTGAGCTTGGTTCCTTTCTTGCAAACGTTTAATTACCTGGCTAGGTAACCGTTGCTGAATCTGTCTGAGATGCAGCTATTACATAATAGTGTGAGTAGATCTATTATGAGTTTAAGCATAGCCAACACAGTCAATTCAGTACAACCAACATACTATGAAACAATAATAGGAAAGTTGCATATACATATTTATTAGATTTATATTCCACCTTTATTTTTTACAATGGAAGGCAGCATACATAGCACTTCCTTCCCCTATTTTCCCCACAACAACCACTCTGTGAAGTGGGTGGGCTGAAAGAGAATGCTAGCCCAAAATCACCCAGCTAACTTCCATACCTAAGGAGGATTAGAACTCACCATCTCCCAGTTTCTAGTCCAGCATCTTAACCACTATATCAAAGTAGCTTTCATATATATGGAAGAGAGTTCTTTTTTCATCAGTTATATGCTGGAAGATATGCCCACATCCCTGTTTTTCTTGTACTACCTTTCACTTATGCAGGCATAATTTATCCCTTTTACTTTGTTTTATATTAGCATTTTAGTAATACTGGTAATAAATTATTGAAGATTTAGTATTGGCCTTACTTCCCGATATTCATGTTCAAATTCATTTCTGTGCTAGACAGAGTCAATAATAATTATAATAGTGCTTATCATTTTCTCCAGCAGATATTTCTTCTCTCTCTTCACTGGAAATAAATCAGAAATATGTCTTGCTTTTCAATGTTTCCATCCCATGGCATGAAGAAGTAACTAAAGCCGAGCTGAGGATCCACATTGCATGCCAGAAAGAGGCAGAGTGTTTCCCTCATGTTCAAGGTAATGTAGTAGTTTATGAGGTGCATGAAGGAGATAACTGGGAGGAACCAAAGGATGTAAATAACTTCCTCACCTCCAAAGAAATCCAGGGATGTGGCTGGGTGACATTTGATGTGTCGAGCGCTGTGAAAAAATGGGTCAAGGCAGAAAAGACAAGGACTATCAATCGGTTGGAGACTGCAGTGAAGAATCTTGATCCAAGTGATTTCAACTGTGGGATTCTGAACATCAGTATAACTCCTGACTCAAGCCATTTGCCCTCACTGATAGTGTTTTCTAATGATCATGGCAACAGAGTCAAAGAGAATCATGCAGAACTTCAGGAAATGGTGGCACATGAACAGGAGGATGTGCTTAAGAATTTAGTAAAGAACAACACTGCCCACAGACGGAATACTTGGCCTATCCATGGAATCCACCATTCTCTGTCCAGAAGCAAACGAAGTATTGAACTCAACCATTGCCGGAAAACAACCCTCCATGTGAATTTCAAAGAAATTGGATGGAACTGGATCATTGCCCCTCCAGATTATGAGGCATTTCAGTGTAAAGGGGGCTGCTTCTATCCTCTGACCGATAATGTCACCCCAACCAAGCATGCGATTGTCCAGACCTTGGTGCATTACAAAAACCCCAAGAAAGCTGTCAAAGCCTGTTGCGTTCCCACAAAGCTGGAAGCAATTTCCATGCTTTATAAAGATGAGGCTGGAACCCCTACTCTGAAATACCAATATGAAGGGATGAAAGTAGCAGAATGTGGCTGCAGGTAGTATCAAGGGACCTCTAATTCATAATTTAAACATATTCTGAATGCAGTCCTTTTTCCTTGAATTTCTCATAGAATGGCACTTGTTTGTAAATCAGTGACTAAGAATGAGATAATTAATTTCTAAACTGAATTTCTCTTATACAGATCTTTCCTCCCCTTCTATATTTCCTCTGTATATTTACTCTATATTTTTTAGGTAGATATCTTTTAAAAATTCTCTCTGTGCCCATCCACAGTATTGTAAATATTTATATAAGGTTTGTGGGGTCTCTTTAACTGCAGGGGCTATTTGCAGAAGATTGACCATTGATCACAGTGTGCCTGGTTTCATGAATCTCTAATTGTGCCAACATTGAATATGTTTACAGAATTGTAATTTCTTCCCCTACCCCCAAAAGGGAGAGTGGTTTTTTTCCCACATTTCCATCACAGAAAAGTTATTGGGAAGGAGAGTGTTATGAAATATTTTTCTAGCAGTGTAATTATTTTCCAAGCAGTGAAAAAATGTCTTAGAAATGATGTGGAATTATGAATATAATCATTTTCCATTCCTTTTAAGTTCCTCTATGTTTATATTAACATGTAGTTTCTTTCTAAGCAATATGTTTCCTTTTTATGCTCCAAAACATATCTAGTTTTGTTTTTTCCTGCTTTCCAAATAACAAGATAACTGCTTCATGTTCCACAAGTTGGAAGTGTGTTATGCCACAAGCCAGCAGAGTTTGTTGTGAGAAACTTGGGCTGCCCATTCAATGTCCATCCTTAAAAACTAAAGTTCTGCAGAGAGATTGCTTGGCAGAGAAAGCAGATGGGGTGAGAATGGAATCCTTTCCTTAGCAGCTCTTCCTTATTGAGCAGCCACTCACCAGGAGTTTAATTTTTAAAGAAAGATTGGGCACATGAGTCTTGACTTCTGGATTGGAGAAGGAATTCATATTCATTCCAGCTACGTGTGTGGAAACTTGCTTTTGCACATGTAGTAGTCCTGAAGGCCTGTGTATTTGAATTTATTTGAATAAAAATAAAATAATTTATCATTCTTTAGCATTCTCCACATGAATATTGCTATATGGGTAGGAGGACTGACAGGAGTTCGATAGACTTACTGAGCTAAGTTGCACCAAAAGGGTAGCAATGAAACACACACACACACACCCCATTTTTGATCAGGATAAGGAAGCATAGTGAAGGGCACATTCAAGCAAACAGAACTCTGCTGAGCTGTCGCTTCTCTGTGCTTGAATAGGATAGGTCCTGATGTCATGATTACAGGATACAGTACTATTTTATCTGCCAAATACAGAGACATACATGTTTTCATGGCAGTTAGATTAGGTGGAAATTGGATGCACCATACCCCCATTCCCCAAACCCCCAAACCTGAGGAATGGCTTAGTATGTATTTTTTCCTTTGTGGTTTTAAGTGTTGGCAATGTCTCTCTGTATATTAAGGGGGAGCATGTGAATTCCGAAATGAGAGGAGAAACCTTCACCTTTTATAAGTGGCAGTTCACCATGACATGCTGCTAATCATCTGCTCAGCTGTTTTTGCCACTTTATGATCAGATGCAGAAGTCTGTTAAACATTACCTTTTTTCTAACCATAACTAACCTAGCAAGTCATGTGCACAAGGTGGTTGCAAAATATAAATAAATCTTACTAGTTGTAATGTGTATTTCATTGATTCATTGCCTGCTTTACTTTTATTGCCCACTCAAAATTTTCAGCTCTGACATTTAAACAATTCCTCTGAACCTGGTTTCTATGAATCTCTAAAATGAAGAGCCCTTGATTGATCAACAACAAACAGCCCTCTTCTTAGGGCTGAGAGAGAGGCTCTGTGCTTAAGGCAGGACTAGAACTCATGGTCTCCTGGTTTCTAGTCTGATGCCTTATCCACTACCCCAAAGTATCTAATATCTTTATTAAATCAACTCAAATTTTAAAAGTGTGCAAGTCCAGTGATTTCTAGATCAAAATGATACAAAACAGGAGGGAGCACAAGGACAGAAAGAGGAGCGAGCATGGATGTGGAAATCTGCCTGGTCAGAGCCTCAAAATGAAAGGTGGGAAGGCATGGAACCAACCCAGTCAGGCTTCTGGTTCACCTTCTCCCAGTGACTACTGGCATAAAGAAAAACAGAAAAAATTGAATAGGTAGATGAACAAACCCTTTTAGATCTCAGCACTCTCCTTCCACATATCATATCTGAAACCCTGAACTGCAGTTTTCATGGTATTGATTCTAGTTAGAATGAGATTCTAATTCTTTTACTTGCTCCCATCCTCATTTTTCAATGTTTTGGCATGTATAGCATTCTTTCCCCAATTTTTCCTAATAAGAATACACTCCTGTGGGTAGAGTATGCTGAAGAGGACTTAATCTGAATTTCCCTGGTTTTAGGACAACACCTTAACTACTCTATTCCACTCCACTGGCCCTCAGTACTTGGATGGATTTGAAAATGTCCTCACAGCCAAAATATTTACTTTTGTTTTTAAAGTATCCTACCTGCTTTGTTTCCTCCATGGAGTTAATTGCAGCTTGGAGGTGGGACTTCAGATTGAGAAATCAGCATATGGAAAATAAGAAAATAATAACACTAACTTAGTAATAAATCTGACTGCTGTAAAGATTACTAAAGTGCAATATGTAAATATCTTTGATATATGAAATGCGCTCCGTGTGCTTTTCTTATCACAAAATGACTCAGATATGTTACCTGTTATTCTGAAACTCACCATAACTTGGATAGGGCTGGCAGTTTGACATTTCCTACCCTCTCCCTCCTGCTATAGTGAAGACACCAAAAATAGGTACAAAAGAAGGAAGTTAGGATAGGACTGAAATCAAGTTGTTGTTTCATGGAGCAAACCTTCTCTAGGCTGTGTGATTCAGCACTCTAAAATATCATTTCTTTATTTTTCAGCTATGCATTCTCGCTGAGTCAAAAAGGTATAAAAACTAAAAGTACCCAGGCTGTGGAATTTGGCCCCAAAGATGCCAGGGTAGGATAAGAAGGGACCCAGGATTCAGAGTCTCTAAGACAGATAGATAGATAGATAGAGATAATGAAATAACATCAAATGACTATTCAACAGAAAGGAGCTATTCCATTGTCACAAGGAGAGAAATAAAATCAACTGAAGCTTTATGCATTTAACTTACCAGATTTTACCTCAAACCTGAGCAACTCTAAAACAAACCTAAACATTAAAGAACCAGCACCAAATGTCCGTGTACACAGAGCAATCCCTCCACCATAGTCTCTGTGGTCTCCAGATATAAAAGTGAAGACCTGTAAACTTTGAGGGACCAATAAAAACTTTTCTAATCATCTAAAGCCCTGCCTGAAAAAAGTAAGATCTCCCTAGCGATCAAATTCCTCTGTTCTGCCAAGAAGAGTAGAGAAGACAGTGACTCCATCCACTGAATTAATCTCTAACCACACACAAACACACACATCCCACAGAGATTTTAAGGACTGGGATTTAAAGAATAGGCATTTGTGGGCCAAAACTATAGATGTTACCAATCTGTGTTGGACCAAACATGCTGCTAGAAGACACACCACCATATTGGACTGCAAAAATCCTGACAATCACTGCATGACAGCAAAGAAATCTGCACTGTCAGTATCTCTTTGCTGCTCTCAAGTGGTCATCTGGATTTCTGCAGGCCAGGTAATCCTAGCAGGAATCTCCAACTCAGCTCTTTCTTCTCAGTGCTATTCTTTGCCTAGCAGCCAGTATCTCATCTTCAGTTCTCTTATCCTACTAACCTCTATTTTTATCTCTTGATGAGACCTACTTGAGTGATAACATACAGAACTAGCCACTCCTAAGACATTACTTATGTAGAGGAACAGAATCCTTTATCTCTATTGTCAACAAAGCCTTGACCTTCTAAATATTCTGAGCATTTCCATAGATAAACCTACAGCTCATTAGTTAAACTACATTGAGAGGCCCTCATAAGAGGCCCATTTACTTTCCCTTTTTACCTGCTCACTGAAATGGAATGCGTCCCTAGCCAGAAACAGGCAAGCTAAGGGGACTATGTTTTTGTTTTATTTATTCATTTCAATTTCAATTGGTACTCTGCCTTTTCAGCACCATAATACTTTAAGCTTCTTACAAACAAGAAAATATAAAATAATAAAAAGAAGTTAAATACTTAAAAGTGTCACATAATTACATTTATACATAAAATAAAGCTTGAAATCATCATCAGCAAATAAAGGAGCCCCATTAAAATGGGTCCAATAATCAATAACTTCCAGAATGTGCTGGAATTGAGCATATACCTGGAATTGAGGGCATACTACCTTTTTTACTATTTTAGCCTAAAATGGTATATTTGAGGCAAATTTTTTAGCTGTTCTGGATCAAGAGAAAGTTTAAAGACTTTAACCATCTCTTTTATGTAGTGGGAAAAGGGTGATCTTCCCTCCACATATCTTCTCCATATCACTGAAAAGAATCCAAAGTAGTAAGGGAGAACATTGCCAAAGTTATGTTAATATGCCCTATCCCAAATGCAGAGTTTTGCACTTCTCTCTGCTGTTGTTGTTTTTTTGTAGTTATTGATTGTAGTTACACTTCCTACCAGCTATAGTTCTTTAACATTTCTTTCCCGATCCTTCGCTTCTTATTTTGAGAAAGGGATGGATTGGTCAACCTATTTTTTTATTATTTATTTTAGAGGTGAATTTTATACTTACCCATATATAGTTGGGAATAATCATGGAAAATATGTATTTGAAAATCAGCATTCCTCAATCAATCAATCTTTATTATGGCCACAAGTAAAATACAATTAAGACAGATAGATACACACCCACACCCACACACAAACAAATATATTGATAATTATAAAAAGGTAAAATTAAAAATTAAAAAAAATGAATACAATTTTTCAAGCACAAGGAAAGACATGAATGCCCAAACCTGAGCAAACCAGTAGAATCCTGGTCAGACAAAAGAAGTGACAAATATAAGTCATGCTCTCTACCATGAATTTCT